CTGAATCGGTGCGTGCGTTGAAGGTGCGGGGAGCCTCCACCCACAACCAGACCCCACCGCTCAGTCCTCTCCCGTCGGGAATTGTGAAGGGCGCTGCGAGCTCACCGGGAGGCGGAATTCCAGGTGCTCCTGAGCCATAAGCAGCAGATACCTGTTCAGAGTGCACCGCAGCGCCATTGCGGCTGCTCTCCATGCGCCTGCGCGGCCTGCTTGGCCCCGCCCCCTACCCCTCAAAGAGCGTTTCCCCGAGGCGGAGCCTGGGCGGCCGGAAGCGGAAGTTCAACAGGGCGCGCGCTGTGCTGACAGTTTTCACGCCTGGCGTCCGCACTCTGCAGCTGTTGGAGCGGCTTAAGTCTGGTGGGGGCCCAAGTACAAGTAGCTGGTGCAAGGAGAAGCGTTGTTTCCTGGAACAGATTCTGATAAATCGAGGCCGAGGTCATGAGTCCAAAACACCCATGCATCTCTGTCAGGCTGAGCATCTAACACTTGAAAAGGGATTGGGTATCAGAGATCCAATGGGAAGGAGAAAAAGTTAATGTGTTAAGATTTTTGCAATTAGAAAAAAATAAAAGTATTTTGTACCGACTTATATAGGAATTATGGGAATGTCAAATTTCTTGATGTGCCAGAGGGGTCTCTGGTATCATTCGTTAATGAATATGGTTCATGAAAGGAGAGAAATAATAGTGGTTGCTCCGTAGAAACAAGAATGCAAGTTGAAATTCTGAGGCACCAATTCAGACTTGAGCAACTGGAGTTTTTTGATTTAAGAATGACTCAACACCTGGAAGTCAAATTTCCAACAAGCAAAATCTCCAGAGATGGACAAAAGTAAATCCTGTTCTATGGTCTAACGACTCCCCAGAAGAAACATGAAGCCCTAGTTTGCAAACTATGTCCTCTAATTTGCTAGGAAGCAGATTATGCGCAAAGAAAAATGTGAGAAGGAAAACTGGGGATTCAGCCTTCTTTCCTGGCCATCATAAACCCTAATGCTGTCACAATTCAAACACGGTCGTCAAGGGCTATACATTCATAAACATGATAGCTGCCTAATTGAACTAAGCTGGAAGACAACTCTCTCCACATCTTATTAGGTGACTGAAATACCAAGTTTTTCCCAAAGAAGCCTAACCCAAGGCCTACCGGAATTTCCTCTCTGGGCCACTCCTTTGTTTAATTATTTTAAGTTTTCATTTTTTTACTCCTCTCCAAACAAAGGGCAAAGCAAGACAGTGATTATTAACTCCACTGCTCAAGAAGCTTCAGCTTTGCAGCTTAGGTGGACTTTTCATGATTTTAAATAGATTAATAGATTTAATCTTTGAAATGGACCCCATTTATTATTTCCCTTGGGCATAACTTGTAAACCAGTAGTAGTACAACATCACAGCGCATTTGCCTCATATGAGCCAGGTCTTTCATTTCCCCATTCTCTCTTCTTCCTTCCCCTTTCCTTCCTTCCTAAAATACAACCAAGTTTGATTTCTGAATTAAAAGGCCTTTTGGCAAGTAATTCACAAACATTACATTCTTGCTTAAGGTAGGTATGCAGCTCACCTTCTAGATGCTTTTTAAGCACATATTGTTTTAAGCATAATTCCCAGTACTCTCCATCTTTTAATCCTAACTGCTTCCCAGGAGTAGAAAAATTATATAGTGTTGGGGCTCAGATGAGAATACACCAAAATGAAGGCCTCGGAACAAAATTTCCTACTCTGTCTTCTGCTCCACTTTTCCCCTACAAGACAAGCCATAAAAACTAGAATTCCTCTTCCCCATGGGGAATAATAGAAACTAGAACTCTTTCACTCCAAAGCAAGCCCATAAAGCCAAAAAATACTAATCTTCCCCCACCTGTCTTTGAGTGGACCATAAAGAAATTCTTCCGCCTACCTTGTCTGACATTTCAGAAGGGGTCTTGCCCGCCCCATCAGGGTGGAAGGAGTGCTGCACAGGGGCCAAAACAGTTAAATAGGCCTTCCTGTGTTCCCCCACTGTCTCTATTAAATCACACCTTTCTTGTCTAATCCTATTACTCCATGGCTGCTTTCTCTTCATAGAACCTAAGGGCTCTATGGATCTTTGAGTCTTCATTCTTAAGGCTCTTGTGTCACTTAAAAGTTATGATTGAACCAATCTGCATCAATTTTTCTATTAAGCACCCACTGTCAGTCCCTTTCAGTAACTCTTCATGAAGCCTTTCCTTTTATCCTATAGTAGTCTGTAGATCATCCCTAATCCCTTTTAGGGATTTTCTTGGACAGTCTACTATATAACAGCAGAGTCAAATGTAGTGTTTTACTCAATCCTATAGAGCACAGGTTCTCAAAATTGGCTGCATATTGTGATTACCTAAAGAGTTTTTTTAAATACTGAGGCCTGGAATCTAACTCAAGATTCAAATTTAATTTGATTAGAGTGCAGTCTGGAAATAAAGTTTTAAAGTTCCTGAGTTGATTTTAATGTGCAATCAAATTGGAGAATCACTTACAGCAGTAGTTCTCAAAGTGTGGTTCTAGGACAGGCAGCATCAGTATCACCTGGAAACCATTTAGAAATGCTGTCCCACTCCCAAACCTGCTGAATCGGAAATTTTGGAGGTGGGGCCTAGCAGTTTGTTTTTTAAAAAATCCACCAAAAGGTGCTGAATAATGCTAAGGTTTAAGGATAACTTCTTGGGGGAGGAGATGGATGGATGAGCTTTGAGTCTCTAGAGGCCCAGGCATCGAAGACTAATGTTTTGTTGTTTCCTTATCCACCTCTGGGGAGACAATTCAAATGATAAATTTGCAAAATTGTCACCGTCACAAATATTTTTCTCAGAGGAAGATGTATCAAGAAGGAAGTATTCCTCTTTGGCCAACTAAATTGAGAATTAGTCTTGAATCTCCTTAGCTATGAAAATATCTAGAATAATCACTTAATATGTGATTTCCTGTGGGCCAGGAATGTTGTATAGAACCTAAGCCCTTAGAGAAAGAACAAATCTAATAATGTCAAGAACTATGATACTTTCCCATAGCCCTGTAAGTTTCAATATTAAACTCTTTTAAAAATCTCTGATATGAATTAATTCTTTGGAAACTCAAAAGAAGTCTCACACTTGAGTTATATTGATAATGATACTGCCATTAAAGATATCAGTCCAGAAAGATCAGCTGACATCTAGATTATAATCTTCTGGATTGAAATTTGCCTAAAATTATGGTCTTCAGTCACTTTGGTTAGTTATGGAAATATGTGAAGGCATTCAGAGATTAAATTACATTTACTGACAAGTCACATCAATCATTCACTAGAATAAGGCAATGGAGTTACAAAGATAAGGTTAAAAAATAAAATAAGCCCCCAACTCCAAGAGCTCAAAATCCAGTGATGAGAGCCCATTCTATCTTGACTAGGTTGCATAAAATGTCCATGCTAGGGTTGAAGCAGAAGAAACAATATTGCTACAGTTGGGGATGGGAGGCAACAGAGAAGACTTCACAGAGAAAGTAATATGTGAGCCAGATGAACATATTTACAAAGATGTGATCAGTTTAGTAATATACTGTTACAACTAAAAATGTTAAAACTGTTGGTTGTTATAACAACTGTTGTCACTAAAAATGGATGGTACACTAGGATACAAGTGTGAGAAATACAGATAAAAAAGCTGAAACATTACCTTGAGGGTAGATGATGAGGTTAATTTAGTGATTTAAAATTTTTTACTTGGTGCTTATGATTGAACCTAGGGCCTCATGCATATTAGGCAAGGGCAGTACCAATGAGCTATGTCTCCCAGCCCCAGTTTAGTAATTTAGGCGGTAATTTAGAAAGAACTCTGTTAGGCAGACAGTGACTAGAGGCAGGGAGCCCAGTCAGGAGATTCTAGCAATAGTCAAGACAAGAAAGTATGAATATCTGAAAAGACAGACACTGAGCATTAAGAGGATTGAAATGATTTTTGCTTTAGGATTTCTTCAAGGTTACACCCTGGTTCTAAAACTTTTGGTATAAATCTCAAGGTAAAGTGTTTAGGAGCCTGAGGAAACATGGCATGTGTTCTAGTTAGTAGAGCAATGAATTAAGAATAGACTGCAGAGTTGGGCAAGGATAAAAGTAGGGAGATTATAATAAAGAAGTTTCTGCTGTAATCTAAAGAAAGGATAACTTGGTCAAGATGAAAATAGTACAAGTGGTAAGAAGTGGTAAAATTATGAATATAATTTGAAAATATTGCCAATAGATTTGCTAATGTTAGATATGAATGTGAAAGACAAGTAAAACATGGCTCCAAGATTTTGACTTCAGCAACCCAAAAGACTGGAGTTGCCATTGATAAAGACAGAACAGATGAATGTGTTGGGGGTGGGGGAAATTTGAAGCTTGAGGTGCATATTTTAATACCAACTTAGTTAAGTCATATGTGGTTTAGGGTTCAGTTTAATCAGTGCATGATTGTTGGTTGTGTTCCATCTCTCCCTATGAGATTTTAAATAACTAATCATATATCTGATTCTCCTTAATTAGAAGTGGATAAGACATTTTCATTAAATTAACTTAAGTTGAATTAGAGATATGGTTATTGCATTTATTTTAGTAGAATAAACAGGTACCAGCTTCATTTTGGTAACTTGGGAGTACCTGTACCTAGTACATACTGAAAATTTAATGAAACTTGTGTTTTGTAGAGGACTTTTTGACATCAAAACCTAGAAATATTTGAGTGTTGCAATAACAAAGATTGTGCTCTGACCTTCAATTCTTCGTATGAAACAAGAGTAACCTCTTGTGCACTGTTATCAGCCAATTTATCAAACACCATTTGAACATGTTTTTAGTATTATTAAGAGTCCACAGAGGGACTGGGGTTGTGGCTCAAAAGTAGAGCGCCACCTAGCACGTGCAAGACCATGGGTTTGATCCTCAGCACCACATAAAGTAAAATAAAAATTGTGTCCACCTATAACTAAAGAAAATATATTTAAAAAAAGAGTCTACAGAGGCAAAACTTGACACAGTATTTTTCTATTTTTTATTTCATTTTCTTGTAAGTAAGCACAGTTTGAAGTAGTTCATTATAATAATTTTATTATAACGTTGCTTTGAATTAATGTTTATAGACAGGTAAGGAGTTAAATGCTCAGACTACCCTCTCTCCCCAAAAAAGGCTAAGTTAATTTTATTTGTAGTCATTTGATTATTAATTTTACCAAGTAAAGAGAACCTCTATTAAAAATGTATTGCCAAAGGTTTTCCAACAAAGAAAATTTACGCAAGGTTGTAAAGCTATATAAATGGAGTCACTTGGCTATTCATATTTTTGGAGATCCATAAAGCATTTTAGAATTCCTTAAATATCTGTCATGTCATTGTCATAATAATCTCATGTATATCATTGCCAGTTCACATAATAAAACATTCAAAGCCTGCACATGTTAAAATTTCTTCCCTGAAGCTAATCATATTTTATAACTGATTTATAGAAGCTTGTAACTATTATTATAAATGCTCAGCTATTTCACAAAACAATACTGACAAACATACAATTTTGGGAACCCATAATCCCTGCAAATCCCACTTTCCACCTTCAGCAAATAAGCTGAAATTAGAACATTCATGCCAATTGTAAATTAATAGTGAATGTAAACGTCATGAAAAACAATATGTGGTTTTCTCAGTCTAAAATCCACTGTCTACCTTCCAAAGAATGAGTCTTGAATACTCATTTTTACTACTACCTGTTCTCAGAAGTGGTTGCCCCTCCACAGCCTCTTCTCGAAACCTCATGACATCCAACACACCAAATTCTACTGATTTTTGTCAGGCTCCTATATAAGCAATTAAAGGCAGACTGTCCTTTCTCGTTTCTTTATTCCCTGATCCTGGCAGTGTCTGATACATGGAAAATGCCCAATAAATGTTTGCTAAATAAATTAATGAACAAACTTAACAAAATTGACTCCAGATGTTATAACTAAGCATTGTAATAGGTATTTTATTACTTAAAACTATGATTAATATGCCAAAACAAGGAGTGAAAACTAGTAATCCAGCAATACATTAATGTTTATATTCATTTCTTTTCATGTACATGGTATCAATAGTCACTAGGGATTATCTTTCAGTGCCTATTTCATTTTTTCATTCACATTCACTAATGTGACCATAGATTAGCACCAAAGACCATTCCTAAGGAAACATGCTTTGTGAAATGATATACAATAATATTAACATCATTATTCAAATAAAATTTCTCATATAAGCCTTTCTCTTTCTATTTTCAAATCAGGTCCTTTTTATAATACAAGTAGGTTTAACCACTTTTTATTCTAATTCTCCTTTGGTACAAAAAGCATGACATAAAAAGCAACAGTTTCTGCCAGTTTTAATACAATATTTTATGCTTCTTCCTCTTTTATGTTCTTATAGGTATTCTACTATAGTGGATTGTTATATAACAAATTGCTTATTATTGTAAATCCCTGTTAGAAATCACATTATATTAGCTCCCCGCCATCTGAGGTTTTTACTTTCCACAGTTTCAGTCACCCACTGTCAACAGTAGTCTGAAATTTTTAAATAAAAATTCCAGAAATACATACCTCATACATTTTAAATTGTCAGCCATTTTGAGTAGCATGATAATAAAATCTCATACTGTCCTGCTCCATCCAACCTGGGATGCAAATCATCCATGCAGTACACAATGCATGGATGATTAGTCACTGTTAGTCACTTAATAACAATCTCAGTTATCAGACTCTCCTAGTTTCACAGTATTCAAGTAATCTTTATTTTACTTAATAATGGCCCCAAGGACAATAGTGATTCTGTGATTATATTAAAACATATTGTTACAATTATTCTATTTTATTATTAGTTATGTTAACTCTTAATTTGCTTAATAATTTACATTTTATCACAGATATGTATGTATAGGAAAATAATAATAATATATATGGTTTGGTTCTACCTTGGGTTTCAGGTACCCAGTGAGGGTCTTGGAACATATTATTTAAAATTTGAGTAAAAAGTAACACATACATAAGTGTTTCCTCCTCAAGCAGAGATTACTGTGTAGTATGGTATTCTTTATTTTGAAAATTTATGCAGAATGATTAAGAAATAGCTAATTTCTTTTTCTCCCTCATACTAATAAACGTTTCAATAAATTACTTTCTATATCAGTTTAATCTTCATAAATAAATCACTATTAAGACTACTGAGAAATGAAATTACTTGAGCTTTTTAAAAAATACAGAGCCCTTGATTAATAATTTGATTTTAAAGGAATTTTATCTATAGTATTTGATGCACAAAATCCTTAGACAACCATTACAACAGAAAAAGTCAGTGACAAAAGTATTCACATAATTATATCATAGACCTTAGAAAACAGACGCTCAGAAAAGATTTTAAGGCTACTCAGCAACAGCCTCTGGTAAAACCCAACAAACCTTAAAATTGCAATTAGAAATCAAAATATTAGTTCATACTGAGCCAAGATTAGGAAAGTCTTCCATTGTTGGTATTTTCATATTCTTAGTTTTTCAATCAAATAATCAGTCTGTAATTGAAAAAGAAACACAAAAATGTTTTTATTCCAGATATCATATCAGATAATTTTCTTGACAATCCTATTATAATAAGCCATACCATTCAGAAACACTTGTAATCCCAGTGGCTCAGGAGGCTGAGGTAGGAGGATCAACAGTTCAATGCCAGCCTCAGCAACTTAGTAAGGCCCTGAGCAATTCAGCAAGAGCCTGTCTCTAAATAAAATATATTAAACGGCTGGTGATGTGGTTAAGCGCCACTGGTTCAATCCCTGGTACCAAAAAAAAAAAAAAAAAAAAAAAAAGCCATACCAGAAAAGCAAGGTATTATATAGTCTCTTTCTAAAAATGTCTCTCAAAAAAAAAAAAAAAAAAAAACTAATAATGTTATAAACTATAGTAAAGGTATTCTTCATTATATACAAATAGGCAGATTTTATAAACTATATTATATATTCATTAAAAAGCATCAATAAGAAATGGAAAATAAAGTTTTAAAAAATAATGTGGAAAAAAAAAAATAATGTGGATATGAAAGAAACTTAAATGTTATTACTAAGAGAAAGAAGTCAATCTGAAAAGGCTATGTACTGTGTGATTCCAACTATAAGACCTTATGAAAAGGCAAAACTATGGTAATATTTAAAAAAAAATCAATGGTTGTCAGTGAATCAAGGGGATGAATAGGCAGAGAATAGAAAATTCTGAATGATATTACATTAGTGAGAAAATGTCATACATCTGTCAAAACCCACAGAATGTAGAACATCAAGAGTGAACCCTAAAGTAAACTTTGAGTAATAATGATAGATCATGTTGGTTCACTCATTATAATAAATGAACCACTGTGATGGGAATGTGATTGGGGAAAATTGCGCATATGTGCAAGCACAGGGTATATGGGAACTCTGTATTTTGCATTCAATTTTACTGACAACCTAAACCTGCTCTAAAAAATAAAGTCTATTTTTGAAAGTAAACTAAAGTTACATCATTTCAGAGAGCCTTTCTCAATCTTCCTTCATAATCTGGAACACTTTATATAAGATATTTTAGAATAAACTCTAATATATTTATCTTTTTTTATGTCTCATAATATACTACTGAGAATACAGATTAAAGAATTTAGATTCCCAGGATAAACCATTAACAGATCTTAAAATTTTGTTTATTCATGTTTGCCAACTAAAAACTTTCATGAAAGAAAATACATTCTATTATTAAGCTATACTCCCCACTCCCAAAATGTGGTTTAATTAAATTTTTACCACAAATCAAAATCTTATAGACAAGTAGAAACAGAGATAGGAAGGAAGGAAGGAAGGAAGAGAGGAAAGAAGGGAGGGAAGAAGGGAATCCATTTGTAAAATTTATTAAAGGTTATATGATTTTTAGAGACAACAAGTGCTGCCCTGTTGAACACGCAACTTTATTTCAAGTACACACACAAACACACACACACACACACACAAACACACACAATCTTAAATATACTAAATAAAATCATCTGGATATGTTGAAGAGAGAGATATGTTTGAAATTTGAAGTTTCTAGAAATCTGAGGCTTTTTAATTTCTTCTGCACTATTAGAATACTATCATTCACTGACTAATGGCAAATAAATACTATTTGATTATTCAGATACAGTAACGGTCAGTCATCTTATGATAATGGACACAAAAAACAAGAGTCTGGTAAATTACTGGTCAAGTATCCCAGAGAGATCAGAGTCTACTGGTCAAGTATCCCAGAGAGACCAGAGTCTAAGGAAACTGTCAGACCACCAGCCTAGAAATAACTGGATTTTTTTCTTTTACTTATTGACTCAGCAAACATGATTCTGCAAATATTTTAGGCTGCAAGCTTCAACCACAGATCAGGTAGTTAACACTAGTACTAAAGTCCTTTTCTTAGTAGTTTTCTATGGAGTTTAAACTGAAAATCAAAAATTACAAAAACTGGGGCTGGGGTTGTAGCTCAGTGGTAAAACAGTTGCCTAGCAAGTGTGAGGCACTGGGTTCAATCCTTAGCACCACATAAAAAAACAGATACCTCACAGAAGATGATATACAATCAATAATCAATCAACAAATATATGAAAAAATGTTCATTATCTCTAGCAATTAGAGAATGCAAATCAAAATTACTCTAAGATTTCATCTCACTCCAGTCAGAATGGCAGCTATTAAGAATACAAACAATAAGTGTTGGCGAGGTTGTGGGGGAAAAGGCACACTCATGCGTTGCTAGTGGGACTGCAAAACGGTACAATCAATATGGAAAGCAGTATGGAGATTCCTTGGAAAAATGGGAATGAACCACTATTTGACCCAGCTATCCCACTCCTCAGTTTATATTCAAAGGACTTAAAAACAGCATACTATAGAGACACAGCCACATCAATGTTTATAGCAGCACAATTCACAATAGCTAAACTGTGGAACCAACCTAGATGCCCTTCAGCAGATGATTGGATTAAAAATGTGGCACATATACACAATGGAATATTACTTAGCAATAAAAGAGAATAAAATCATGGCATTTGCAGGTAAACAGATGAAGATAATGCTAAGTGTAGTTAGCCAATCCCAAAAAAACAAATGCTGAATGTTTTCTCTGATATAAGGATTCATAGTAGGGTAGGGAGGGGGAGCATGGGAGGAATAGACAAACTTTAGATAGGGCAGAGGGGTGGAAGGGGAAGGGAGGGGACATGGGGTTAGAAATGATGTTGGAATGCGATGGACATCATCATCCAAAGTACATGTATGAAGACACGAATTGGTGTGATATACTTTGTATACAACCAGAGATAATGAAAAATTTGTGCTCTATATGTGTAATATGTATTGTAATGCATTCCACTGTCATTTATAAATTTAAAAAATTAATAATAAAAAAATTTCTACAATGGACATGATTTTGTAATTGTAAAGTAGACATTACTATTAAATATGTATAACCTTTGACATGTTTTAAAAATAATAAAATAGGAGCTCCAGTGGTACAATCGGTTAGCACACGGTACTTCTAAAAATAATAAAATAAATGAATAAAATAAAGTTAAAAAATCTTTACAGATATTATAAAAACTTGCCCAGCATGGTGGTGGCACATGTTTTTAATTCCAGCTACTTGGGAACCTGAGATAGGAAAATTCCAAATTCAGCCTAGGCAACTTAACAAGACCTTGTCTCAAAATAAAAAAATAAAAAGGGCTGGGGACATAACTCAGTGAAACACTGCTTCCCTAGCATGCACAAAGCCCTGGGTTTGATCTCCAGTAACCACATCCAAACGCACACAAAACTACAAAAAATCGGTTTCTATACTGATGTTAATTATAGTAGAAACAGTACCTAACTTAGTTACTGAGTACTATCTGCAAGGTACTATTTATTTATTGGCAATACTAGCAATTGAATCCAGAGCCTAACAAATGCTAGGCAAACGTTCTACCAATGACCTTACTCTCAGCCTTACAAAGTACTGATTTAAGTGCTTTATACAGAAATCATCTCATCATCTCTTTTATTAACCCTAAGGACAGATAATACAGAACTTAAACCTGGGCTGTGGACGTTACTCAGTGGTATAATACTTGTATAGCGCACACCAGGCCCTAGGTTCAACATCAGCAAAAGAAAAAAAAAGTAATCTGTACCTGATTCCTCAAGTAAGCAATGGAGCCAGAATTTGTATTCAAATCTGACTCCAAAGTCTAAATTCTTAATGACTTGCTTTTCTATATCATATACCCCACTTGCAATGGAGAGATTGGCCATAGCTTCTCTCCCTATAGACCTAATGACTACAAAATCCCCCAAAGTAAAAATATTACTTTGAATATATACAAAGCAGTTTGTTAAAACAGGTGTTCAAGCTACTGCAAGCTATAAGTGCCTAATCTTGCAAGAAAAGCTTCAACAAAAGGACAAATATTTTAAATATGCTTGCATATTCTTGATACAATAACACTTACTGTGATAAACCAATAGGAATTTATTCTATAAACCAACTTGGATAAGAAGCCAAACTGACTGACTGGTGCCAGAACATGAAGGTGCAAGTGGGAAATGGAACAGAATGGTGGCACATGGAAACCCATCCTAAAACAGAGAAGAAAGAAATGATTGACAAATCAGCTCTACAATAATTAAAAACAATTTATAGGTTAAATGACATATAAAAGATATACAAAATACATTACCTAAAGTAGAAAGAATACCACTCACATTATCTCTTTTAGTATATTTCTTTACACACTTCATAGTATTCACATAGTTCCTCTTCTTTTCATGTTCAAGTTCATAGTAATAAACTCTTTAACAAGGAAGGGCTTAATAGCACATTATATCTCAGAATAACCTTTATAAATTCTGAGCTGACATTACTCCTTATCAGTTCAGTCCTTATAACATTAAGTTTGAATTCTAAGATATGTTCCTGTAATGAATCTAATAAAGTTTTTGGGCACACAAGTAGTAGTGTTACTTTATTCCAAGGTATAACCAGTAGATGGCATGCTTTCTCCTGTAATAAAGTACTCAGGCATTTCTTTGCGAACCAATATTTCAAAAGTTATATCAATCATATCATCTTGTTAAAAAAAAAAAAAAAAACTTTGATCACCTAAATTTAATACTAAAAATAAGTCAGATGATAATTATTCATAAGTATGATTTAACCTCTTAAAAATCCATTTTCAATTTCACTTTAAAGATGGGTAAGCAAAGATTAAAAGCTTAAGAGCTGAGCACAATGGTTCATGCCTATAGCCCCAGCTAGTTGGGAGGCAGAGGAAGAAGGATCACATGATCCCAGGAGTTTGAGACCAGCCTGGGCAACACAGCCAGACTCTTTCTCAAAAAAAAAAAAAAGGTTAAGACTCTTCCCAAGGCCACAAAATTAAAATATGGTGGAGCTAGGAGTAAATTTCAGGGATCTTGACTCCTTATCCAGTATTATTTTTTCTAATAAGCAGTTCCAAAACTGAGAAAGGAACATGTTTCTTCAGGCCAGAAGATCTTAAATACCATATGTTACTTGTCATTACCACATTAGGATAATGCTTAACAGTTTTCAGAGGATCTCCATACACATAATCTCATTAGTATACAAGTAGGTAGAGCAGTATTATTGTGGATAACTAAAATGACTTGTCTAAAATGACACAGCTAGTACAAGTACAGTACACTTGGATAGTATTAGAATTCTGAATTCTGGTTCAGAAGTGTTAGAAAAGTATCTCTACTATACCTTGCCTTGGTACTGCCTACATCACACAGGACAAAGTCAGAAATCTTTTTAAAAAGAATACTATCATTTAAATTAATTGAAACAGTTAATTGAACACTATGTGGTTTTGCTCAGATTGGCAAATGCCAGAGTTCAAATTAGCAGGCAATAAATCCAATTTAATTTCATGCCAGAAGTCTAATAATGTATTCTTTATCATTTTTTAATTTTAATTTGTTATATATGATAATAGAATGCATTACAATTCATATTACACATATAGAGTACAATTTTTCGTATTTCTGGTTGTACAGAGTTAATAATGTCTTTTTAAATCACAAAAAAATAAAGATTGGTCTAATAAAATTCATTTTATACACATTTTTATAGAAATCCCAAACAGAATAAAGAAAAAAAGGACTCATAACTATTTTAACTACCCATTGTTTATATATATTTGTCTGTCTAAACTATTAAGTGGATATTTTTGGAAGATATTAAGACATGAGAGGAAGAAGTTTTATCAAATTTTTATTATATGAACTATATTTCTCACTTTCAGGAAAAAATGTATTTAAGCCAAAATTCTGTAACTGCTGTTCCCTTTTTCATGAAAAATAACATGTCAGAAAAATCAATAATGCAAAATGTTAGTTTCTATCTGATGTATACATACCTCATATTTGAAAAGTCAGTGAAATTGTTATTTTTAAGAATGGTCTTTCCAACAGTTACCATGTTTTCCACTATAAAACAGGAAAGAAACATTAGACTATAGGAGACGTTAAGTTCACTAAATTGTTATTAATCTTAAGTTTTGGGGTTCTGGTCAAAAGTCACGTCAAATGGGGAAACATTTAGAGACACATTCAATAGCTTTAAGTCACCAAAAAATCTGTTCATCGACAACCGAAATGAATATTCAAATTGAGCTCTAGTGCATTATCATTATCACAAAATATTACACACATAAGCTGGCTTTGGAAAGCAGTTGAGAGATATTATCAAGTGGCTATTTAGAACATTATAGTGATGCCTATTTTAATAAAGAGAATAGGTAATTATACAGAAATTGAATTAAGAAAAAAGATAGCATGTTCACCACAGCATTATCCACAATATGCAAAATACAGAATTAACCTAAGTGTCCACCATCAGATGAATGGATAAAGAAAATATCACATATATGTATATATGTATATATACACACACAATAAAATGATATTGAGCTTTAAAAAGAAAGAAATTCTGGCATGTGACAACATGGATGAGCTTAGAGGACATCTTGCTCAGTAAAATAAGCAAGGTACAGAAAGCTGAATAGTGTATGATCTCACTTAAATATCAAATCTAAAAAAGCTAAACTCATAGAAACAGAGTAGAATGGCGGTTATTAGGGGCTGGAGGCGGGGTAGGGTTGGGAGATGTTGGTCAAACAACACAAAACCTCAATTAAAAGAAGTAAGTTCATACAACATGATGAGAATGTACTGTTATCCTTAAAAATGATAGTAGATTTTAAGTTTTCTCATCACCAAAAAATGGCATATGAGTTAATGTATATGTTAATTAGCTCAATTTACTCATTTCATAATGTATACATATTTTAAGACATCATCTTATATAAAATAAACATGTACATTTTTGTCAATTCAAAAACAAATTTTTTAAAAGACAGAAAAACCAAATTTGTCTTTAAGCCCAAATTAGAAATAAGATATCCCTTCAAGTGATCCTAGTCTTTACTAGTTAAACATTTATATAATGATTTTGACTTCCAATTTCTATGTCATATCATTTTTCATCTTTTTTTTTTTTAATGGCCTAAAGTGGGAAAAAGAAGTCTCCCTATTAGAAAAATGTTGGTAGCCTGGGTCTTCAAAGTATAATGGGAAACCTTAAGCCTATACATACTATAACCATGCATCTAAAAGGGGAAGAAGTAAGAGATTCAACAAAGGACAGCTGTTATATTGAGGCTTACTAAACTGCTAATATTTACTTCTCTAAATCAGGCTTGCACTGGGAGACTACCAGTTTCTTACATTTTAAATGAATTGATATAATGCCTGTATTAAGCAAGGCCTGGTAATTAAAGGATGTGTATTATAACCTCTCTAAAGCAACCACTAAATAAAGAAATATAAAAACTAGTAAATATGGGGGGGGGAGGGCTGGGGTTATGGCTCAGTGGTAGAGCACTTGCCTAGCATGTATAAGGAACTGGGTTTAATTCTCAGCACCACATATAAATAAAAGAATAAAATAAAAGTCCATCAACATCTAAAAAAGGAATATTTTTTAAAAAGCAGTGAACATGACAACAGATAAATTAAAGAGAAATATGAAAAAGCAAAAGTGAAAAATAAGATATAAAGCAACATATAACAAATGGGACAAATGGCACAATAGTAGAGCTAAACCCAATGATATCAATGGTTACACTAAAAGTCAATGGGCTAAACATTCCAATTAAGAGATTTTATATTTTAACAAAATACAAGATTCAACCATATTTGTTTTCAAGTATTAAAATATAAATATGCATTTGGTTGAAAGTAGAAAATAATACGCAATGCAAACAGTAAATAATAAAGTAGAAACAGCTAAATTATCACACAAAATAGACTCAAAGAATATTTCCATAAAGAGATATTTTATAATTTAAATAATCAACTTATTGAGAAGATATGACAATCCTAATTATATATTTACATAAAATCAAATTCTTCAAAATACATGAAATAAAATCTGCTATCTGTATTTCATTGCTATATACTCTTTATTATTTCATTTTTTATACTTATTTTGGGTTGATTTGCTTGCCTCTTTCTAACATCTGAAAGTGGTAACTGAAGTCATTGGTTTTAAACTTCCTTTTCTAATATGAGCATTTAAAGCATAAACTTTCTCCTAGGTACCACTTTACCAGCACCCCACAAATTCTAACATGTTGTATTTTTATGACCAATCCACTCAAAATTATTTCTTCTTTGACATATTTAGGAATTACTTAGAAGTGTGCAATATAAGTATGTGTGTGTGTGTGTGTGTGTGTATATATATATATATATATATATATATATATATATATATTTGGAAATATTTAGAAATATGTTCTTTAATTTATAAATATTTAGTCCAGGTTTTGTTATTTCTACAATTTAATTTCATTATCTTCAGATGACATTTTATTAAACTTCAAGCATTTGCAATATGAAAATATTTTACGGATTAGAATATACTGTACTGTGGTGAATGTGAATATGTGCTCTTCAAGAAATGTGTATTCTGCAGCTAAGTGGTATTCTATAAATGTCAGTAATGGTCACTAGACTTGATAGTATTACTGAGCTCCTCCATATGCTTAATACTTCTCTACCTTTACAGATTATATAAAAAAATTAATCACTACTGTTAAGATTTCAATATGGAAATATTCAAATATATATAAAAGTAGAGAGAAAAACATAGTGAAATCCCAAATACCCACCAGCTGCTTAAAAATTGGTAACATTTGATATGCAACAGTTATAAAACTAGTTACAACAGCAGCTTCTATTTTCCCAAACCTACCTCTACCTTAAAAATAAATAGAAAAGTTCCAAAAATTCTAAAGAAAATATAATGTCTAAGAAACTATCACAAGAATGAAATGGAAACTTTTAATACCAAAGAAATACTAGAATGTTTCAATTTCAGGTAAATTTAGGTTAAATCTGCAGGGTACAGAGGCACATGCCTCTAATCCCAGCGACTCGTGATGGTGAGGGAGAAGGATCACAAGTACAAATTACAGAGACCCTGTCTCAAATTCTAAAAAAATAAAATAAAAAAGGACTGGCAGGCACAGTGGCACACAACTGTAATCCCAGCAGCTAGGGAGGCTGAGGCAAGAGGATCTCAAATTCAAAGCCAGTCTCAACAACTTAGTGAGGCCTTGAGTAACTTAACAAGACCCTGTCTCAAAAAACAAAAAAATAAAAAAGGGCTGGGGATGTGGATCAGTGGTTAAGTGCTCCAAATTCAATCCCCAGTACCAAAAAAAAAAAAAAACAAAAAAACGGGCAGGGGACTGGGGATGTAGCTCAGTAGCAAAGCACCAAGCACCCCTGGGTTCAATTCCCAGTACCAAATAAGTAAATAAATGAAGTTAAATCTGATCTTTATAAGCTCAACTGCTATCTTCTGGTATAAACCTGTATGTTTCTCAAAAGTACTAAAAGAACTTCAAATACTAAAAATCTTTGTAGTATCCAGAAACAACAATTTAAAAACTGGCAAGTCTAGCCTAAATTAACTATATCCACATCAAAATTTCCATTTATCTATCTATCTTGTAGGGTACCTTACAGTATTAACCAAACTAATCCCAAACCCTGATGACAAAATCTACAAATTACATTTTGAAGTGAACTTAGGAATGTTTTAGGAAATGATAGCTGACGAGTCACAGAAGGTACAAGTTAGAAAATACAGAATAATTCTGTAAGAAGCAAAATTCAGAATCTCCTTTTCAGAAACTAAGTTCATCACTCAAATCTCATAATTAAATTATTGCTAATTCATCTACATTAGTGATTGATCTTAATGGAGTATAAACCTGATCTTACTATGAGACAATATGCCATATTGTAACTTGTTTAATTTTTTTCACAGCACTTTCCATTTGCAGAGTCAAGAAATGCCAACATTTTTAAAAATTCAAAGAGAAACATTATCTTTGAAAAAATTTAAATATTAAATAACATGATGTGTTTGCTTCAAGTCACCTCTGGGATGTTAATACATGAAAAAATGACCACAAGTTAATAAATACTGAAGCTAAGTGATGAATACATGGGAATTATACAGTTCTCTCTATTTTTATATACAGTTGAAATTTTTTATAATAAAAAGTTCCAAACAGTCATAATGGACCCTTTTCATCCTAGCTAGATATATTTTTTTTATTGGTTGTTCAAAACATTACAAAGCTCTTGACATATCATATTTCATACATTAGATTCAAGTGGGTTATGAACTCCCATTTTTACCCCAAATACAGATTGCAGAATCACATCGGTTACACATCCACATTTTTACATAATGCCATATTAGTAACTGTTGTATTCTGCTACCATTCCTATCCTCTACTATCCCCCCTCCCCTCCCCTCCCATCTTCTCTCTCTACCCCATCTACTGTAATTCATTTCTCTCCTTGTTTTTTTCCCATTCCCCTCACAACCTCTTATATGTAATTTTGTGTAACAATGAGGGTCTCCTTCCATTTCCATCTAGCTAGATATTTTAATTGTCACTACCATTGCTGATATCAATTCAAGATGATAAACCTATGAATAACAGTGCCATCATCTTACCCAATTCTATTTGTTCTCTCTTTAGATCATTGCAATTTCTAATATGCTTCTTTGGCACTACAAGATAATGATGAGGTGCTGCTGGTTTTATATCTTTGAAGCAAACAAGGTCTTCATTCTAAAGTGAAAAAAAAAGTATTTGTTAGTGAAATTTAGAAAATAATTTCCTAACACTATTCTGGCATAACTTAAACGTCATAAACCTCTGAAAGGAAAATGGTATGCATGCTACAAAAAAAAAAAAGCCATACTGAGCAATTTTATGATTATGTACTAAGTATATAAAAACAAGCATAACTTCTGACATGAGATGATCATTTATTCCAAATAAAAAGCCTTAAAATTTCGGCTTTTACAAGAGAAAAATCTATCTTTCTTACAAAACTTTAATCAATCTTAGATTTTAAAAAATCAGTATCAATAAGCAGAGTTTCCTCAGTAAAATTTCCCAAATGCACAGTTGCTCATTATTCTCCATTCCAAAAGCCCAAATTCATTGAAAAAATTCAATTTGAATGAGGGTCTCAAATTCAAGTCAGTAATCTCATTATTATCCTAATATGGCAAACACGATAACTATACCAGTTTATCTATTTTTTTTATTATGGTTTTGCTGTCTAGTGATAAATTTAAATATTGATATACATGGATTATTTTATAAAGGGATAAGGTAAAGGATCACAATGTTCTTGTTTAAAGTTTTCCATTTTTTCTTTCAGCTAAGAAACAAGTAGTACTGGCCATCAAATCTTGCAACACAAAATTGCCATACTAACATAGCCCAGATTAGTTGATCATAGTTGATAACACAATTTCATATTTTTATTTCCCCTCAATTATGACATTGATTTTTAAAAATTCAGAGGCAATTCCTTCTGGTTCAGAATACATCCTGATTAGAATTAGAATTACTGAATTACTGAATTAATTAGAATTACTGAATTCTGCCTCAAAGCAGGAGTAACATTTTTTGGATTAATAAAACTAGAAAATGTCAGTCTAAAGGATATCAGCAGAAAAAAACATTCCTATATATACCTGCTGTTTCATACTCCATGACTCAGCTATATGACCAGAATACTCAGTTCTTTGTCCATCTCCCAAACCTCTATTTTGAAATATTTTATGTATTATTACATATAATTTGTTTTCCTAATTCTAATTTTAAAAAAACAACAACTACTACCATCAACATATCTGTGATCAGCACCAGGAATAGAAAAAAGTCCTATCAAAAGCAAAGAAATTTAATGACATTAGTGATTAAATTAGATTTCCACCAAGATTTCAAACATATTGAAATTGGCTCTCTGATGTCATACTCTCTCTCATTGCTACTATCGGTTGAGCCACTATTTGGATCTCTATTTTAAGACTATACTTCTATTCCAAAGATATGCTGCCAAAAAATATGAAATTATATAAGTAAAAAATTATTCTTTGCAGTGAGATTTATGATGAGAGAATGAAAATAACAGGAAGATCCATAATTCAACTAGAACAGTGGCTGAATAAATTGTGATAAATCCATATAATGAAGTATTATTTGGTTATAAAAAGGAACAATAATAATCTCTATATACTCATGCAACTATTTCTATGATATATTCCTAATATTTTAAAACTAGCAAGGAGCCTACAGAACGGGAGAAAATTTTTGCCATTTGCATTAGACCAGAGACCCTAAACCTACTAGAAGAAAATGTAGGCCCAAATCTCCATCATTTGGCTCAGGAACCAAATTCCTCAACAAGATTCTGAAAGCACAAGAAGTAAAATCAAGAATAAATAAATGGGATTGTATCAAACTAAAAAGCTTCTTCATAGCAAAGGTAAATCAAAAACATGAAGAGAGAGCCTACAGAATGGAAGAAAATCTTTGCCACCTATACACCTCAGATACAGCATTAATCGCCAGGATATATAAAGAATTAAAAAAAATTAATACCAAAAAACAAATAACTAATCAATAAACAGGCAAAGGAACTGAAGAGACACTTCACAGAAGTGAAGAAATTTGAATGGTCAATAAGTAGATGAAAAAAGGTTCAACATCTTTAGCAATTAGAGAAATGCAAATTAAAACTACATTGAGGGGGGGCTGGTGATGTAGCTCAAGCAGTAGCGCGCTCGCCTGGCATACGTGCGGCCCAGGTTTGATCCTCAGCACCACATACAAACAAAGATGTTGTGTCCGCCGAAAAACTAAAAAATAAATATTAAAAAATTCTCTTTCTCTCTCTCTCTCTTTAAGAAAAAAAAAAAAAAAAAAACTACATTGAGATTTCATCTCACCCCAGTCAGAATGGCAATTCTCAAGAATACAAGTAACAATAAATGTTGGCCAGGATGTGGGGGAAAAGGTACACTCATACACTGCTGGTGGGACTGCAAATTTGCAAATTGGTGCAACCGGACTAGACAGGGGTAGTGAGAGGAAGGGATGGGGGTGGGAATGAGAAAAACAGTATAATGAATCAGACGTAAATTTCCTATGTTAACATATGAATACACAACTGGAGTAAACTCCACATCATGTGCAACCACTGGAATGGGAAATTATACACTATGAATGTATGACATGTGAAAATATATTCTATTGCCATCTATAACTAAAAAGAACAAATAACAAAAATAAAACTAGCAAGAAGCATAGGAAGATTATCTTGTGAAAGATTCTGCAGTGATGTTCTGGATGTTATTTTTGGAGACTGTTCTACTAGAATCCACTCCTCTAGACCTTCCAATGATTTTTTTCTAGCAGTAATTCCATACATTAAGTCTATTTCTGTTTAAAATAGCTAGAATAGCTTTTCTTTCCACAAACTATGCCCTGATACCTAAAGCAAATAAAAAGTAATAACATTTGGAAGAACATTTGAATACCATGTCATCTAAGGTTTTAGAACAACTTTGAATATCAAAGATGGAGGAGTTATATTAATACTAAAATTTCCTCAGTATGAGCTCAAACATGATGAAACCTAATCCAGTACTGTTTAACCATTTTCCCATTATTGCCACTCTAGGATCCTTTTAAGACATTCATAGGATTTTAATACCATAGATATATCATTTATCTGTTTATGCAGTCTATGCAAATCTGTGCATAGATTCTGTGCATAGGATTTTCCTGTATAAGAAGAGTAACATATTTCCCCCACCACAACAAAAACCAATTTTTACCCCCTTGGGAATAGATAAAATCCCTGATGAGAATGCATGATTTAACCTTTGATTAGTCCAATTCTGCAGAACATGGTAAGAAAACATTGTATAGAAGTCTATGTGGTAAGGAATCTTTAGCTTCTGCTGGATAGTCTCCCAGACTAAAGTCTACATGATGTTGGTAACTTACCAACAAATCAAGTGATCTCTGTATATATAAATTATTAGTATACCCCACTTCATATGAACCCAATAACTTCTAGATGTTTATAATGAATATAACATGAATACACTGTAAATATATTATATACATATAGTGAAAAACATACAAATTAAATACTAGGTAATTAGTTCCTTTGTGTGTTGGGACAGGGCACTGGGAAGTGAAATCAGGGCCTTTCTCCTAAGCCCCAACTCCTCCTGTTTGCCAAATTTCTGTGAAAGCTGACTATATTTGATATTCACACTCCCCTCAGATTCTTCTCAATCAACTGAAACTGCCTTCTGTCTCACCACTGCACTTCAGTTGCTCTCCTACCTATGTCTCAATTCCTCTGGAAATTCCTCCCTTAGCTCTCAAACCTGGGTTAGATGCCCCTCCCACAAGCTTACAAAATACTGTAAAACCACCTGACCACCGCACAGGGCACTGTAATTGGCTGCCACCTCTGTATGCATTCCACCCTTTAAATTATAAAACCTACAGGCAGACTGTCCTTTTATCTTGTCCACCACTGACTCCAAAACCACCTCTCAGTGCAGCGAATTAAAGAATGATCACTACGCAATCTTGGGAGCTTATTTCCTCAAAAGATTTTTTTTTAACAAGTAGAACAGGTTGTATACGGTGTATACCATATATCTCAGAAAATATCTGAGCAAAGTCAGTCTGAAAATTGCCACATATCCCAACTGATATCCCTTCAGTAGAAATCAGAGACTATTAAGTATTAAGTTGGACTTCAGACCCACTGCCCTCAACCCCAGCCGATTTTCAGCTAATCTAACATTTTGGCATTATCTGTTTTCTACTAGATTTCTCGTCGGTGTTGGTTATGAAGAGTGCTCAGAATTTAAGATCTCTAATTAGAAAGGAGGAAAAAAGAATTCCTGTAATAAAAACAAAGGTCCCCAAATGCTCTTTTATGCCAAGAATCTCGCTACCTGCAGCTCTATCATTACTTTTTCTCCCCTGGGAACTGTGTCTTGTTGGAGACACTCCGGGGGTCTCCCGAGAGAAGTCAGGGTCCTTCACACAACACCCTGCCTTCCCCAGCCGGTCCACACAGCCGCTCTGCCTCCCGAGCTCTGCACGGTGATCCGGATCCTCCCCACCTGGTCCACACCGGCTAGGCCTCCCTCCCGGAGCTCCGAGGGGCGGTCGGACGTCCACCCACCTCACAGGGCAGGAGTTCGGTGCTGGTCTCCTGTTGCCTCGCAATCCGACAGAACAAGCAATTGCTGTCGTAGTCCCCGGAGTCTAGGGACTCTGCGGCGACCTTGGAGGTTTTATCTGATTTACTGTCAGAGGCGGAAGGCACTTCGCCGATCACCTGCCCCTCCGCCATGGTACCTGTTTCGGCCGCCAAGAACCCCGGCTTCTCCAAGAATACTGCGCCGGCGCGGGCCCGCCTCCCGCACCTCCTCGGTTTAACCTCAAGGCGTCGCCCTTCGACCGGCTTTGGGTCAGGCAAGAAGTGGGACGCATGCGCTGATCCAGACTGACGGAAGAATGAGGACTAAGCGATCAACATTGGGCCTTGAAGCCAGTTGCCACTAGGGAGCGAGCGAGGACGTTAGAGGGTCGCCCCGCCTGCTGCCCCTCGTTGGTAATGACGTACCACGTCCGCCGAGACGCAGGAGCGCGCCGTGCGTCGTAGTGACATCACCGGGCGCGGAATCTTAGGGCCAAAAGGAGCGTGTCGTGTCCATGATAGCAGCCTGTCGTATGGTGTCCCAATAACGGATTACGCCGCCGGGTTTTTGTTATTGTTGTTGTTTTGTTTTTCTTGTATTTCTTTTTTAATTAAAAAATGAAAGGTCTAAAGGCTTGATTTTAAGAATTCGTAGGTTTTAGGAGAATGAGCAAATTTTCTGGATCCTTGTTTTAGCACAAATCATGTTCAGCGGTTTTTGTACCCTTCCTTGCTCAAAGTGAACTTAATATCCCTGTTTACTTTTTGTTGTTAACAGCAACCTAGATCGAAATGTCGGTCTTTGTTACTTTACAGTCCTTATACAATAAAGGCGAAGTCCTGTTGTTCGATACCCCAAAATACTCCAGAATTTCACTGCTAATGCCTCGTTATGCCACGTTGAGAGCACTGCCAACGCTGCTGCAATACCTTGTGTTACTTCTTGACTTCTTGCTGTTCAAACAACCTTTCAGTAACAACCATGCCTAAAGTAAAAGCACTAGTTCTTTAATTCGGTATTCAAGGTGGATTATAATTTCGCCTCATCTTTTCTTTTTATGCTTCTTCTCATTTGCTGTGCACCTAAAATGTGCCAGTTGTTTTCCTAATCGTCAAAACATGGTTGTTTTTTATAGTCCACACTCCAGGGATAAGGAAACAAACTCAAGACTTCTACAGCACAACACACACAATTGAGTTCACGTAAAGGTTTTGTTATTCTCACTTAGCCTACCCCAGGACCCTGCCTGGATCCCAGGCACCCACATAAAAATATAGGCGAATGATGGTAAAAAGGAAAAATGAATTGTGATGCAGTTTGATTAAAATGGGGAGAAGCACCTAGTTTGCTTGCTTCTTTGTCTTTCCCACAGAAGCAGTTGCAATTGATAGACACAAAAGCCAGGTTATGCTCACATGTAGATTTTAGCTAGGCTGTACTTTGCCAGAGTATATATCATCCTTAATTTCCGTGGTGTCAGTCCTCAGCAGGAGAAAGTTGTTATTCTCATTATGAGGAAGTTCAGAGATTTAAAACTTTAATTTGAAAAGGAACTGTTTCAAATCCTAGAGAAAAACAAGCCATCAGGAAATTGCCATTAATTTCAGGGGGAGTCCCTTACAGTTTGTCTTCACTCCAGAACCCATCAGCCTTTTTGAACACACAACTCCAATGCATAATAGGGGCTGGGGTTGTGGCTCAGCGGTAGAGCACTTGCCTAGCACATGTGAGGTGCTGGGTTTGATCCTCAGCACCACATAACCATATATAAATAATTAAATAAAGGTATTGTGTCCAATCACAACTAAAAAATATATTTAAAAAAAAGAAATATATAATAAATGAATAATTCAGTAATGTTTTTTAGTTGAATTCATGTTGTCATCAAAAAACAAATGTATATAAAGCATATATATGTGTATAAATAATATATATATATGGGGTAGTTGTAAGCATTCAAGATATTTTTTATTTCTCTTTCTGTGGCCAGTTGAATGGCCCTTTCACAGCCCCTCAGCAGTCAAGGCAGAGTTCGGAATCAGAGCATCATACTTTGCCAAATTTAAGGATTTACATTTTCCATATCTACTACACTTTCACATCACTCTTTTATTTGCACTGTTCCCACTGAAATAACCTTGTTTCTATCTCTTCACATTCAAATTCCACACAAATTCCAAGCCACTCCTCAAATATCTTTTTCATGAAATTTTCTTTGATTAACCAAAGCAAAATAAGCACTTCCTCTTGTGAATTAATCTAGTAGAATTTTAATACTTCTCTTGTAGAACTTTGTATCCTATAGCTATTTATGTATATATATTTTTTCCCTAGTAGAAATTAGGTTCTTTGACAACAGGAACAGTTGTCTTTGAAAATCCCATAGTACATAATACAATATTTTGCTTAATAGTTGATGAACAAAATGATTAGGAGCAAGATCAGTGCATGAGAGTGTCCAGATTTTGCAGTGTATAAAAACACAACAAATAAGAGTATGCTAATTCATATCATCCATCTATATTAAATTTTATAAAATCATAGACCAACCTGGAGATTCCAAGCACCCTAGTCAAGTTCTAAAGCAGTGAAGAAAATCCTCCTACAAACCTATATTGAGTACAAATGGCCACACATGCAACTTAGACCACTCGCCTGCATACTGACACACACCCCTGCTCCAGTTGCTTCTGTTCTGACTGCACTCCTAGTGACACCTGAGATTGCTTTCCTAGCCCTTTAAAAAGCTTTCTTCCAGTTCCCCATATTTTAACTGATAAAGTTACCTACCATGAAACTGGGAGAACAACACAGCATATTTGAAAATTATGTAGATGATGTATCTTGGTGTGGGCACAGGCAAAATGTAGGCACTTGTGTGTACACAGTCATGGCTGGGTTCTCAATAACTCCCTTGGATATAACCATTCAGGTTGTTAGACAATATACTAACTTTAACTCTACTTGAGAGAGATTGCTATTTTATAATGTACACTTTTGTCTGTAGAAACAGGTTATTTCTCTTTCTGGGCTGAAGTGTGAAAGTTACTTACCTTTCTGTGTTCACGCTTTTTGTTTCTTCATCTATCAATTGAGGACAACAATGATGATTGTTTACATTTTGCATGTAGAAAGGCCCATCAAAATACCTTGTTTGAAAATAATTTAGGATGTGGATGCAAGTATCATTACTGTTATCAGTAATACACACCTGTTAAGAGCCAACTCTGAACTTCATTTTTTCCACTGCTGGCTGATACATTTGTCTGCTTCTCTTTGCAAGGAAACTCCTCAAAAAAATTGTCCATACTCTTCCCAATTCCAGCCTCTTATTCTTTCTCACACTGCTTCCTCTTAGACTTTCACTACCCCCACTACATTCAGACTACTACTGTCAAGATAACCAATAACCTTCACATCTAATGGTCACTTCTCAGTCCTAATTTTGCAGCAACAGTTGGTCATTTGCTCTTCCTTGATAAACCTTTCTTCTCTGGGATTCCAGGTTACTAAACTTTCTTGGCTTTCCACCTACCTGGTTGGTACTTCCTTCTTATTCTCTTTTGCTGATTCCTCTTCTTCCAAACTTCTACCATCATTGGTGGGCTTTGATTCTAGGTTCTCTTCTTTTTAGCTGCACTCACTTCCTTGGTCTCCTCATGCACTCTATGGCTTTCAACTTAATATATTTTCCAATGAATCCCAGATTTGAATCTGTGTTATAGATGCTTCCCGGAACTCCAGACTTGAATACCCAACTGCTTACTCAGTCACCCCATAAATATCTAACAGATGTTATAAACATGTCTGAAACTGAACTCCTATGAGGCTCTCCTCTCCACTGCCCCCTCCAAAGCCTGCTAACATCTCAGTTGAAAGACACTCTGTTCTGTCAGCTACTCCAGACAAAAACTTTGAAATCATACCTGACACTTCCTTTAACTTCTCTTATCTAATCCATCAGGAACTAAAGTATATCCAGAATCTGATGTTATCACTGCTGTCACCCTTGACTGAGCCACCATCATATCTCACACGATTCATATCAGTAACCTCTTAATTGAACTTTCTACTTCCATTCCTGTCTTCCAATACCAGTGCATCTGGTCTCAACATAGCAGAACGATCCTTGCAAAATGCAAGCAAAATCATGTCCCTCCTCTACTCCACATCCTCCACTGGTTTCCCCACCCCAGTGAGCGTAAAAGCTAAAGTACTTACTTTTAAGGAGTTTATAAGTTCCTATATTCTATTCTATCCTCTAGTGGTCTCCCCATTCCAGTGAGTGTAAAAGCTAAAATACTTACCTTCAAGTAGTTTATAAATGCCTACATGCTATTCCATCTGCCTTTCCATTTACCCTCTGACATTAGCTACCACACCATATTTCTATTACTTCCTCTGCTCTTGCCACACTGGACTCCTTTTTACTCGTACAGGCTAAATGCTTTTGTGTTTTCACCCCATACTGGCTGTCCCTCTACTTGGGAAACTCTGCTACTAATCATGTGGATTGTTCTTCTTTTTTCAAATCTGCCAAAGATAAACACACCTGGACACTAGTGAAAGTTATACAAAAGATTTTTATTCCATAGAGATAGCTCTGCTCTAATTTGTGCAGAAGTGACTGTCTCTTATAGGAAGAATGGGTTGGACAACAAAAGATATGGGCTCAAGTAGAGTCAGAGAAGTGAATCATTACATTGTTCACCATAAATGTGATGAGGCTAGCTGTTTTCACTAGCTAGCAATTATCAAAGTTAGGCTCCATCCTCACACTGAGACTTGGAGACAAAGTTGTATCCTCCTGATGATTACATTTTGAAGGAATGATTTTCAGATTCTTAGGAAAAATAACTTGAAGTTATAGGAGATCCAGATTCATAATTGGAATTACTTTTTAAAAAGTAAATGCTCTAAGAAATGAAGGTCAAAAGCCTATCAAAAATGGTTGGCAGAAACAAACAGTAAATTCTGTTGGAAGTCCTGGGAATTCTAAAGCAGGCAGACATTTGGAGGTGGGAGATGCAGGTTCTGGGTTCATGTAGGGACATGTCTCTATGCTGCCATATTAGAGTTTGGTTGTTTCTTAGTGTACATATTTGGACAGGGTCATTCTATATAAAGAGTTCTGCAGTTCAAATCTCTTCAGAAATGGTACTTCTTCAATAAAGTCAACTCTCAGCTTAAGTTACCCCCTCACATTCACCCCCAGTACTGGCTTCCTCTTTACCATGTTCTATTTTTTCTATTGCATGTATATATAGTAATATGTATTATAAGTATTGGAATACTACCTATTTAACGTAGCATGCATATTCATTACATAGTCATTATTATCTGCTTCATTCCCATTGAATGTAATCTCTACAACAGGTATTATCTTTTGGGTCTATTTTGTTCGTTGGTCTATCCTCATTTCCTTTATGTGGAGTGTGAGATTCAGCGAATAATCAAGAGAAAGTCCCAA